TTAACGGAATTGATCAGCGAGTTCGCATCTGTTCTCATGAATTGAGACAATTTTTTTCGAAAATAGTTTTTCTGAAGATGAACTTCAATTATCTTGTTATTTTTGGGTGTGCAAGTGTGGGATGGATGTAGGTGTGGATGCGAGTGTGGGATGTGGGTGTAGGTGTGGAGTGTGGATGTGGGCGTGGGTCGTGGGGTGTAAGTGTGGATGAGAGGGGTGGGGGTGTGAGTACTCACAATCAGATCTACAACTACGCCTACAATCACACCTACACTCACACCCACACCGACACCCACCCGTATCCGCTCACATTGGCACTCACCCACACCCCAAATTCACATCCACAGCCAATGTGTGCAGTGATGTCTCCGATATCTCCTTTTGTGAGATATTGTTAACGGCTGTCAATCCAATTAAACTCTCGATATTGTTTCACGACAATTCGATTGTTAATCCGAAAATTTTCACTAGGTTACATCTAGTCGTGCTGTTACGGTTCTTGTGCAACAGAGACTGACACTTTTATTATCAAATACATATGAATGGACGGAGAAACATTTGCTCCAAGCTCGACCTAACATTCAGTTCTGTACAACGTAACCTAGCGGTGTTATAAAGGTCAATTACTGAGAAGTCAGCTTTACTGAGAGAATTAGGACCACACACTCTACTACTTTTGATGAAATAAGAAGGTAAGATAGAAAAAGACGAATAGACCACGAAGGCTAAACGAGATCGACGCTGTCGTGGACGAATGAGTTGCCGTGGACGAATGGGTTGTCGTGGACGAATGGGTTGTCGTTGACGAGCCGATTAAATTGAAGGTTGGTGTCTCGTAAATGTCAAAATCGTCGGCATTCTCTTTGTTTCCAAAGTGTTTGAGAGCCGAAAATCGAATTTTATATTTACCAGTAGGAAGACGAGCCGTTTCAATCCATGACGAGCTTCCATTCGAAACAACCACACTAGTCAGGCCAAACCAAGTGATTTCATACCACTGTAAATACGATCGAAAGGCTGTGGCTACATTTCTCACTACATTTATGTAAAATGCTGGTGACCGTCCGGCATCATTGTATATATAGCCGTAGCTGCAAAGAGAGAAGAAATGATTCGCTAGTCAGCACTAATAGACCATGACTGCCTGATTTTGAGAACATCTATGGTTAACTAAATGCATAGACGTGTAAAAATTTCTGAGGCTTAGGAAAAATTATTGAATGAAAAGCGATCCTACTTTTTTTCTCTTAACTAAATGTTGGAAGGGATCGCGTCAATTTTCGACATCAAGTTGAATCCAGTTTTGAAATGTCTTTTTGTATTTATCAAAAGATGTTACGCAGAACCCTTGGTTACTGTTTAATTAAATTTGTGAAATTTTGATTTCTATCTAGACTATCGTTACGATAGCTGATTTTCGCGAAATCTGAAAGAGCAAAGCGAGGCAAAAGTAGTGCGAAAGTCAGCAGTGTGTTCTTTCTTGTTTAAGGTAATTGGTGGCTACGATCTTTATATATTGTTGGAATTGCGATAGCATTATCTAACAGCAACAGTTTTTGATAATCACATTCTACGGAGAAATTTTTAAAATAATCATTACAAACATTCATCACGATCATGGATGAGCTTTACTGATACTTTAGAAGGTACATGACAAATAAGTAATAGTTCATCTGTGAGAAAATAGATGACGAATAGTATTTCCTTTAAACGGTAGATAAAGAGCTCTCTTATCCTCTTACTTACAAACTTGATTGCTGCTTTCTTTCAGTTCTGCAATAGAGCATTCAGAGCTCATCACTAATGTTTATGTAACATAATTTCTCATAGATCTGTTTTAAGCTTGATCATCTTTTCACGAGTTATTTAAAAATCGTTCATCTAAGTCATAACCAAGGACTCTGCGTAACATCTTTCGACGAATGCAATAAGACATTTCAAAAGTGGATCTAACTCGATACCGAATATTGAGGCGATCCTTTCTAGCGTTTATGGGAGAGAAAAAAAGTAGGATCGTTTTCCATGCAATAACTTTTCCCGAGTCTCATAAGTTTTTAAACACCCTACGTAGATTACGTCTATGCATGCCGCTCGAATGAATAGATCGAGTGCTGACAGGAGAATGCTCAGTCTTTTCAACTGCTTTGCATAATTAAATCTTATTGTTTTTCAGTATGAGCGAAGCCTCACAAAAATCGCGGCAAAATTAGGTTCCCAACTATATGTTCTAAGGCCTTTGATTCGATAACTGAGCAGTATTAAAAAAAGAATGAGGTGCGATAAGGCCACATTTTGTTTACAGACAAAATGGAATGATATTGTGTTTTACCTTTTCGCCAAGCTAGGTAGAACTTGGCTTTCTCCTGAAACAGCCTCCACGAAAACATAGCGCGACGCCCATGCTGTGACCAGTATGACCCGAATTGTATTTGATAAGTTGAAATTCTCTTGTTGTGTATTTGAAATATAGCTGCTATTTGAATTCAGAATGCCTGTAACGACACCTGATGAGCTACTTCGCACAATAATGCGTGAATTCTTGTAATCTCCGACAACACCGGCATCTGTAGAGAGATAGATTTATGCATAAAAGGAAGGTTAGAGAGAGCTGTTAGCTAAAATTACTTACATGGAATGTGCGCAACTTGTTCATTCACATTATTTGTGACACTAATAAAGCCCGAGAAGATTGGAAGAAGAGCCGCATTGGCATTACCAGGTGCTTGAAATCTAAGAGTAATCGTGCCTGATTGCTCAGGGTCTAGTTCAATTGTGGCTGGTTGGATATCGACAATCTTTTTATTTTGAGAAAAATAATAGAAATATATTACATGAAGTGAATTGGATTCAATTTTAATGGAAAAATCTTTGATAACTCTTTCTTAGAACTATATGACCTAAGTACTCACTACAGCTTCAAGTTGATGCTTCTTTCGTGCATTTAAACTCTAGTGTCTCCTAATTGATCCATAAGCTATTTTCTAGGGGAACGCACGTAAACAGTTTAAATTTATACAGTAATATTCGCAAGATCAGATATCCTAGAGAATTACTCCCACAGATATGCGCTGGCTTAGGACAAGAAGTTCGGCAAAAGTGAAAATGGGTGGAGGCAGATGTTGATGCCAACTGCAGCAATCATAAAAGCACTAGTAGGAAATAAATTGATGTAAACAGTATATTACTAGAGTTTTGATTCCTTATTTTTTCTGTCTTATTTATAACACATACGTATATAGTGATAGCCGCGTCTTTTGAGGCTTTTTACTTTTGCTATCACAATGCGTGATATGCAAGTGGCACATTAAGTGCACCTTGACTTCAAACCAAAGAATCATTGCCTTCTGGTCACAGACTAACCATCGAAAGGGAAGACCACGAATCAATTCCAATGCCAGAACAACAACGACCAAAACATGTCTCGCTCGAAGAGCTAATCAAATCACAAAACATGTGAAGCCAAGGAAGAGAATTCAAATGTGATGCAGAACATGAAGAGCATGAAAAGTTAAACATCCTTGAGTGAAAGCAGCACAGAAGAGGAATCATGATCAGGGCACGATATAAAATCATCTTCGGTCTCCTGGATTTATACTACCCATACTTGTCAGATTCTTCTATGTGTACTCAGCATTGATGGTCTGATATTCTCAGATGACGTGGGAAGAGACTTCCTAAAACCTATTTGAAGACCTCAGGTATCAGCAATTTTGAAAAACAAATCGTTCAATATTAGAATGACATGCTTGAACTCAGAATATCGTAAAGCGGCCAAGGCTGAGTGAATCGACCAGTTTTAGTCGAAGGGGGGGGGGACCGATCGTCCATGTGGAGTGGAGGGGAGGGGGTTGATCAAAATATGAACGGTTGTTGAGAAAACAAAACGGGAAATTTGCTGAAGCAAAACGAAAATTTTCCAAGATAGGGGCGCTCGACTCGTACTTCCCCCTAGTTGGACTCTACATACAGGTAACTTTGTACTGCATTTCGTTTTTACCCGATTTCATATTGGGATGCAATATAACTTCAACGAAACCCTATTAACAGACTCTCGAAGGAAATCTTTCGACTAGATGTTAATTAATCACACAGGACTCACCGCATAGTCAGCTGAGTATATAGGTTGGGCCAAAAGCATATCACTTCCTTTCTGTAACCCAGTAGCCAATGCAGCTCCGGAATGGCTGATATTGTATACTGCTGTTTTGTTGCCCAAATTGGACACTTTGATAGTGTACGACGTGGCTTGTCTCATAGTGTCATTCAATGCGAGTTCACTGGGTGAAATTACAGTTGTGGCCTGAATGGCTTGAAATACATTTACCAATCCGGCGCCTTGTTGGGCAGTGGAGGCGAGAAGAGACGTGTTGTAAATATTCACTGGCATAGTATTCGATTGGAATAAATTGACGACTTCTGTGAATGAAGGGCGACAAATTGTCTGAGAACAATTGCCCACCGTTTCTGGGCCAGGATTACCAATATGTGCAAGATAAAGTGCTAGAGTTCTTTTAAAAACAACAAATATAATGAATTTCGGAGTAATTTCATATATTTACAGGATGTTCCAAAAGTCCGTTAGGAAAGTTAATGCAGATGTCTCTTATGCAAGTCAAATGATTTATTTGATTTTTTTATAGTATGTCAGTAAGTCGGCTAAAGTCTTTTTTTCGCATATTTTCAGATAAATCTCTGTGCCTGCAAACATCAGAATAAAAATCGTTTTGTTAATGACCAAATTTGAGTTAGCTGTCGTTGTGATACGAAAACTGCAAGTAGAATTAGGTAAAAGCATACCACATGAAGATTACATTAGAATTGTACATTTCAACGTTTTTATGGACGTAGTACTGTAGAAGATCGTCAAAACGTACAAAAGAAAAAGTCGACAAAATTCATGACCTCTGCGAAAATAAGCCACAATCAAATGTTTATCTATCGAAACAGCCCGCTTAATTCCGTGAACAAATTTTGTCTTCTAAGGTTTTAACGAAAGTTATTCAGTTATAATTTCGTTGTGCTGTTGCTCGTAAAATGTAGCAGGCCATTGTGACAGTTCGAACACTTGATTGTAGTTGATTTTCACAAAAATTATAAATTTCATCAAATTTGTTTTCTCTAATTTTTGATGATCTTTCCGAATGTTGTTGATCTTCTACTGCACCAGTTTCACAAAAGCGTTTAAATATTGCGCTAATGGGATCTTCACTTAGCATGTTTTTACCTAATTCTACTTGCAGTTTTCGTATCACAACGGCAGTTAACTCAAATTTGGCCATTAATAAAACGACTTTTATTCTGATGTATGCAGGCAAACTCTGGGAGACCACTAAGGTACAGTAAATAAAAACTTTCTTTGCAGCATAACTAGGCCATTATCAGAACTACCCATTGCATTAAATCGAAGAAAAAACAGTATATCCATTGCACATCAACATTTCTTGCTTAAAACCGAACAATATTAACTAGTAGTCTAAATTGTCGAAAATTGATATTTTTCATTTTTTCCAAACAACTTTCTTTAGTTATCAACAAGAAACAGTGACATATAGAGATTATATTAGTTTTCTTCGATTTAATGGAATTGGAATGATATCTATAATGCAATGAGTAGTTCAAGTAATGGCCTAGTCATGCTGCCAAGAAAAGTTTGATCTGCTGTACCTTAGTGGTTTCCCAGAGCTATTGGTCTTGAGTTATAGAATTATATGAATCTTCGTTTCTATAGTAGATGTAGTTCTGAAAAATTTGCTGCAAACTCAGTCATGGGTAAGCAGTTTGTGATACAAGTTTCAAATCAATAGATTGAACTTAGCTCGAGATTTAGGTCAGATCTTACGGGAGCTATGATATGTCAGTTCTATAGATAAATAAAGAATAATTCATAACTTAACAAAAGGGCTTCCACTTGTGACAAAAATTTTACTTTAGAGAGCAGAAGAGCCGAGCTTTTCAGCAGTCGATCGAACGACATTATGTCTTCTTCCTAACTCTGGATAATACAATGTGCAAAAATCTTTGATGTTGGTCTTATATATGAGCCTGGATAAGAATTTATAGTTCAAACTTTTGCCTGCGATCATGGTTCCTTAAGTTCTTCTTATGGTAGAAGTTTCAAGGTATAAACAGTCGTTATATTAATGAGTTTTGCCTAACTGTCGGACTTTTGTGCACGATTATAATTGGAATTTATAGAGTTCCCCAGAAATAATTGTTACTATGAATTTTATCAGCTGTTTTTGAATATGAAAACACTATCTACTTGTTATTGTAAAATGGAACTAAACGTCGAATGGAGCTTTGTCTTTTATTAAAATCATTCTCAGCGAAGTTCAAATCGACGATCCTAGCTGGTGCATTATGAGTATTATTTTATCAATAGCAAAAGAAAAACAAATCAGTTAGTAAATTCTAATTTTTGACACTTACTGCAATTCTTCATAGCTAAACCCAAACGAAAATCTTCATTAAACAAATACCTAACATTCTATACAACTTTCAGCAAACTTAGTTAAAATAAAATAACTTTTTATTAAAAGGTAACAAAATTATTAACTCTAAATCAAATGAATTTTTAAAAGTTTTTATTTACTTAAAACTTATTTTCTTTATTTTCTCAAATAAGAAGCAGTCCTACAAATTACACTGAAGTTCAGCAGACTATTGAAGAGTCATGACCAATTACCTGTAACCATTGTTATAGAGAAAAGCTATTCTCTATCGTTTGGAGACCCGTAACTCCGACATAGCTCAATGAATCGACTTGAGGTTTTAACTGGATGCTCCTAAGAGCTTAAAAGCGTAGCTTTGAAAGGTTCAGCTTGAAACACTTTATTGGAATCAAATGGCATATTAATGCTGATCGTGTAGGAGTGACGGATCTAGCTGCATGAAAAAAAAGGAGCGAATAAGTTGATTTTTTGGATGAATAAATAATGCGTGCAATACTTCAATTTGATGTAAAAATATCGTACAGGAGACGTAAAAGATTCTGATATAATTCCCTACGCCGTACTTGTGGTAGATATGATGGGTGCCTCTAAATCCACGATTTTCACTGCTTTCAATAAGTTTCAAGCTAGTAGAAATAAATTCGCATGAGGGTTAACGCCATGTTGTGCAGCAACGTGTTCGTAGGGATCATTCGAAAACGGGTATCTAATAATACTTGTTGCTTTCTTTCAAAAACGTGATTGATTTTCTATATTTTTGCATCAATTTGAAGTACTACACGTGCTGTTTATTCATTCAAAAAATTAGCCCATTCACACGTTTTTTTCATGCTGCTAGGCCCATCACTCTAACACGATTAGCATCAATATGCCATTTGATCCAAATAAAGTATTTTCCGCTGAAACTTGTAGAGAAACGTCCTCAAGCTCTTAGAAGTATCCAGCAAAAATCTCAAGTCGATTTATTGTACTATGCCTGAGTTATGAGTCTCCAAATGACAGAGAATAATTTTTCTGTATAACAACGATTACAATTAATTCGTCATAACCCTTCAATAATCTGATGAACTCCAATGTAATTTGTAGTGTAGAAAGCTAGAATGTAGGGATACATAATGAGCGGTTGCCCAACCTATAAAGTCCTTCACTTCAAAATTTGTGAAACTTAAAGTGAGATTATGCACTATCAATTATTACTCCCTTTTTATTCAAGCAGTCGGGTCGGGGTGAGGATGCAGGTGTACATTTCTTGCGCTGTATATGCACACAAATTTTCATATCTCTAGCACTCCTAGGGGCTCAGATCCACGAAGTGGGAGGGGGGGGGGGGGCAATAGTTTTGGCCAGTACTGTAGAAACTCACAAGAGACCAAACGTCATTTCTCATTTGAGTCTGCAAACAAGTTGATGTTTGAACATTTATATTTTCGGAAACATGTGAATAAAAATCTACAAGAGAATTTGACTGGTTAGTCTCACAATCTAAGGAAAAGTGAGAAGTAGCAGTTAAGACATACGACTGTATACTGAAAATCAGTCAAAAAATGGTCATTGAAAGTGCCTGACTATTCCAACACAGAGAGCATCTAGAATATCAACGTAATAAAGGTAACTGTCTGTGTTGGCGCCCAGTCACGGATTGGCGGAGACCAATCTGAAATTTGCCTAAAAGTTGAAAGTCCAATCCGAGAATGAACGGTTTGAACTACGCATTCCAGTATATACGTACCCTGCAACGTAGGGGCATGCCATACTTGTACCCGAATAGGTAGCATAAGCATTCGCAGATTTTTGTTTCATGGCGGCAAAGGATGAAATAGTCGAGTAAACATAGCCACCAATGCCACTAATTTGGGGTTTGAACAGCAAGTCACCGGTAAGACCCAATGATGTGAAACTTGAAGGCGTTCCTCCTGTCGGCTGCGAATCGATTGGAAAAACAATATTTGTTTCGTCAGTTCGTAAAGTTTACTTCGTGAAAGTCTCTTATATAACTCTTCACTATGTTGGTTGCTTTCAAAGAAAAAAATCATACTTTGGAGAAACTTTGAAAACTGTGGTGCAATCTGTATGCGATCGGGTCTGTGACATCAGTTGGAAACTTAGATAAAACAACGGGAGTGCAATTTCATGTGAATCATTAGTTTAATACAAATCTTTGCTTTCTTTCTCTTCGTATAGACACTCGTTGTAAAAATTACTTTGGAAAATACCGAACACATAAGAAACATGTTGAAGACGTAAACAATGGCAACTTCATAAGCAGGTGCTCTACGTCAAATGGAAAGTTTTGCTGATGAATACTCTGATCGTCTACCTAAACCATATTCATCATTAACTTTTTGCAACTATCTATGCTCTATTGACTGAAAAAGTATCCGAGATGATCACTTGTTTTTAGGCTCAGACAATGTTGAGTTGGTAGAGATCAATGAGAAAGTAAATAGCCTTAAATTGTTTGACTATCGGTGTAGTTGATGCTGATTAATTGAAATTGTAAAGCAAATTCTTCATCAAATATTATTTTGCACAATTTTTCTTTACATCAGCCAAAAGGCTTTGTGATTCAGCTCATATTTATTGTATGAGTAGTTCCAAGGGGGGAAAAGCGATACTTCATCTACTGCCATAATTTTGGAAGTACAATGGGAGTACAGTGGGAGTTCGATGGGAGTACAGTGGGAGTACAGTGGGAGTACAGTGGGAGTACNTTACGAGTTTGTTACTATCGGAAACGTTTTAAGGGTTTCCGAGGGTAAAAAATGGGTTTCCGAGCTTTTGGAAACCGATAAAAGGCTTCTCGAGGGCAAGAAATGGGTTTCCGAACACTCGGAAACCTTTCTCCCTTGGTTTCCGAGAATACTGTTTTTTTTTAGAGAGTACCTGATATTAGTATAGAGACAAGGGTAGGATTATTTAAGAAAATAAGCTAAGTATTGATAAATACCATGAGCATCGGCAGAACAATTATCGAGTGGATCAGTGTCCCCCTCTGGTAGGGGGTAAAATTGATTGAATCGATCGCCAACCAGATCTAAAAGCAATTGACTCATAATCTTTTTCTTTATCACACAAAGACTCAAAATGACGACTTACCGTAGCCAAATGCAACTTTACATTGTGGTCCAAAGCATCCTCCCAGAGCAGGATGCAAATAGTCGATACCAGAGTCAATGACAGCTACCTACATAAGGAAAAGAATGACATAAACAAAAATTATGAAAGTGCAAAAAAGATCTGGATTGATAATCGCATTTTCTTGTTCGACAAGTTCAAATTTCTCAATTGCGCACCAATGTGTTTCGTGCCTTTCATTCCCTCAATGTATCTCGGCAAACTTGTCTCAATCTCTATGGAAAAATTACTGCGAACCATGCTATTAAATTGTGCTGTTCTGTAACAGTAAAGAAAGATAGGAGCACTTTTTAAAATAAAGTATGTTCGACTACTTGAAGAATTGAAGAACAAGCGTGAAATTCTGAAAAGTAGAGCTTTCATTTCGTTCGTTAAAAAGATGTTCTAACTTTTTATCATTGTTTACTTTTCCATCGGGACGAAAAAGAGTCTTGTTCGTATTTCAGGCCTCCTTACCCGAACACCTTTGCCAAAGTTTTTCAGCTGATCGTGAACCTGAGAGACACCTGTCAAATTGTGTGCAATAATTGTATCAGCTTGCTTGTTGTCCCTTTTTCTAGATGGGGTGTACGTCTTCAACGGTTTCGGGCCAGGAATAGAGTAAATAGGATAAGTGGCAATAACGTCCG